TTTCTACTAAAAATAGAAAAAATTAGCCTGTCAACTAAAAATAGAAACAAAAAATTAGCCGGGCGTGGTGGCTCATGCCTGTAGTCCCGGCTGCTTGGGAGGCTGAGGCAGAAGGATCGCTTGAGCCCAGGAGTTTGAGGTTGCTATGAGCAAGGCTGACGCCATGGCATCTAGCCTGGGCAACAGAGCAAGACTCTGTCTCAAAAAAAAAAAAAAAAAAAGGAAGAATGAAGTTGGAATACTTACCCTACCTGATTCTAAAACTTAGTATAAGCTACAGTGGCTAAATAGTTTGGTATTGGTGAGAAGATACACATGAAGATCAATGGAACAGAGTTCAGAAGTATACTACACATAGCAGGTTGACTGATTTTTGACAAAAGTGTTAAAGCAATTCAAAAGGGAAAGAAAGGTCTTTTCAACAAATGGTGTTGGATCAACTGAATAGCTGTGTGGGGGAAAAAAATGAACATTAACCCTCATTCACACCATAGGCAAAAATTAACTCAAAATGGATCATGGACCTAAATGTAAAATCCAAAACTATGAACTTTTAGAAATATAGGAGGATACTGTTCTATTCTCCTATGGAATTGGCATTGGTAGTTCTCAGAACACAAAAAACCGGAATCATAAACAAAAAATTGATAAATTGGCCTCATTAAAATAAAAAAACTGCTCTTCTAAAGACACCATTAAGAAAATTAAGGCCAGGTGTGGTGGCTCACATCTATAATCCTAGCACTCTGGGAGGCCGAGGCAGGAGGATCGCTCAAGGTCAGGAGTTCAAGACCAACCTGAGCCAGAGTGAGACTCCCGTCTCTATTAAAAATAGAAAGAAATTAGCTGCACAACTAAAAATACATAGAAAAAGTTAGCTGGGCATGGTGGCGCATGCCTGTAGTCCCAGCTACTGGGGAGGCTGAGGCAGAAGGATTGCTTGAGCCCAGGAGTTTGAGGTTGCTGTGAGCTAGGCTGACGTCACAGCACTCTAGCCCAGGCAACAGAGCAAGACTCTGTCTCAAAAAAAAGAAAAAAGAAAATTAAAAGGCAAACCACAGACTATGTAAGAACACTTGCAATATATAGCAGACAAAAAATTTATATACAGATCATGTAAGGAGCTCTTCCAACTCAGTTATATGACAAAGTAATAAAATGGGCAAAAGATTTGAAATTACTTCACAATAGAAGATATATGAATGTGAATAAGCACCTGAAAAGATGTTCAACATCATTAGTGGTAAGGGAAATGTAAATTAAAACATTGAGATAACACCTCACACATCCAGTAGAATAGCTAAAATTAAAAAAAAATTATTATATGAAGTATTAGTGAGGATATAGAGCAATTGGAATTGTCACATACTGTTAGTAGGAAACAGTTTGGCTATCACGTAAAAAGTTAAACATACAGCTACCATATGACCCAGCCACTCCACTTCTAGATATTTAGCCAAAACAACAAAATGCCACACAAAACCTAGTACACTAATGTTTACCTATTTGTAATAGCCCCAAATTAGAAACAATCCCAAATACCCTTCAATGATTGGGACCCACACAACAGAATACTACTCAGTAATTAAAAAGAAAAACAAAGCACAACCTGTTGATACATGCAAGAAGGAGGAATCTCACTATGGTGAGTCAAAGGCAGGCAAAAAAGAGAACAAAGGCAGTTCATTTCTCCATCAGCTAGGAAGGACCTGTTGAGGTTGACATACCTATCAAGGACAGTAACTACCACGGCTTGAGTGCTTTGATGAAACCCCAGATGAGTGGCCTTCTGGCCAGGCATCTATGATTTCATATCGTTGGAACATTCCTTGTATTCTTCGGGGTTGCAGCTCTAAGTTTCCTGTGGCTGAACCAAGAAAGAAGGCATACACATATTTCTACAGAAATTATGATTTCATGAAAGATTTTAAGACGAGGAAGGCTGATATCTTGCAGAATGCAAAGTAATTTTGGAATATATTATAATTTCTTTGGGTTGAATTACATAGAAGTTTGTAAATGACCTGTGTTCCTGAGCTATGAATATGTGGGCTAAGGAATAGTTTCTCTTGGTAAATACACAATTAACAAATTTTAAAAAGAGAGAACAACATATGATTCCATTTATTTAAATTCTTTTTTCATTTTTATTTATTTATTTTTTTTTTGCGACAGAGTCTCGCTTTGTTGCCCAGGCTAGAGTGAGTGCTGTGGTGTCAGCCTAGCTTAAAGCAACCTCAAACTCCTGGGCTCAAGCGATCTTCCTGCCTCAGCCTCCCGAGTACCTAGGACTACAGGCATGAGTCACCACGCCCGGCTAATTTTTTGTTTCTATTTTTAGTTGACAGGCTAATTTTTTCTAGTTTTAGTAGAAACAGGGTCTCGCTCTTGCTCAGGCTGGTCTCCAATTCCTGACCTCAAGCAATCCTCCTGCCTCAGCCTCCCAGAGTGCTAGGATTACAGGCGTGAGCATTTATATAAATTCAAGAAAATGCAAACTAACCTATATTGACAGAAAGTCATCGCCTGGGGATGAAGTCAGAAGGAGAGATGGATTACAAAAGGGCACAAAGAAAACTGGAGGATGACGGATGACTGTTATTTTAATTGTGGTGATGGTTTAATAGTGTACATATATGTCAAAACTAATCAAACCAAACTTGACAGCTTTACCTATGTGCAGTGTGTAGTGTTCCTCAGTTACACCTGAATAGTTTTTTTGGTTTTTAATGGGGGTAACAGTATAATAATAATTTCAGGCTATTGTAGGGAATATGTAAAGGACTTTATTGTAATACCTAGATCCCTGAGTTTGATCCCACTGAGACTGAGATATCAAACTGCAACCTCTCTACTGAGCTCCTCATCCAGAATCTAGAAGTAAAGATAGTCTAAGACTTCACAGAAATGTATCTGGGGAATTTTAAAAAGTTCTTAATATTTGACAATTAGAGTGTCACTGTGTAAAGTTAACAAACCATTATTATCAAGGCAAAAAGTATACACACGGAAAGTAAGGACTGGGTTCAAAAAATTGTATCCCCCCCACAAAATTGTTTTCAATGGATAATTCATTTGAGAAAGGTTAGGATCATCAGTTTTTCTTTGGAATTAAGTTAGTATAAACTACTATATAGGAAAACAAAATCTACTAGGAAGTAAAAACTAATTCTCTCAGAGTTTCAGTTCTCCTCCAATGTAAAATAAAGGAACTAGACAGGATGATCACTCATGTACTGTACAGCTCTAAAGATTTATCAATCAGGCCGGGCGCGGTGGCTCACGTCTGTAATCCTAGCAATCTGGGAGGCTGAGGTGGGCGGATTGTTTAAGCTCAGGAGTTCAAAACCAGACTGAGCAAGAGCGAGACCCCGTCTCTACTAAAAATAGAAAGAAATTAATCGGACAACTAAAAATATATAGAAAAAATTAGCCGGGCATGGTGGCGCATGCCTGTAGTCCCAGCTACTCGGGAGGCTGAGGCAGAAGGATCGCTTGAGCCAGGAGTTTGAGGTTGCTGTGAGCTAGGCTGACGCCACGGCACTCACTCTAGCTGGGGCAACAAAGTGAGACTCTGTCTCAAAAAAAAAAAAAAAAAGTATCAATCAATTTCTTCATTTATCTTTTATCTTTCCTTGCATTGTCATACCACTGTCTCCTGGTTCATCTTCATCTAAGGGTGGATATTCCCCAAGGTTTCTGTCTTATACTTCCCCTCCTCTGAGTATGTGCCGCTGAAATTAAGATCGCCACTTTCAAACTTCCTAACCCAAAAGTTTCTAGGAAAGAGTTAATGATAAAAAGTGCCACAAAGAGAAATCAAATAGGATGAAGAATCAAAATGGTCATTAGATTTTGGCAATTAGTATGTCACTAAATGAACCATCCAAGGTTTTTGGGTAGGGTAGTGATGCCCTTTTGGAATGACTCCAGCAATCTCTGTAAAGAATGGATCGAAGCCAGAAAATATTAGCAACATTAACATCTTAAAGTAGACTTTGGGGTCATGGATTTAATTATGTAACACTTGGATTTAAATGTCATTAAATTTCCAATGTTTCATCTTGGCATTCCAGGCACTTCACAGCCATTACTCCCCCATAGTGTATCTCCTCACCCCTGTAAACTGGACTATTTACTCTCCAGTGAGCCTGAGCTTCCCTGCTTCTATATATGCTCAGGCCGTTGGACAATAAAACTGCCCATACCGGTTACACCTGTAGAAACTTTAGTGCCCTCTGTTGTCTTCTCTTAACTCCCAAACACAAAGAAACTTGCCTAAGTTATCAATAACTTTCGAGAAGGCAGACCGATTCTGACTCATTTCTACACCTTTTCCAAACTTCCTCCCGACCCCTCACCCCCAATCAGTGCCTCGCCCAATGTTTACCACCCAGAATGCATCCGTAGAATTGAAAGGCCTCAAGGCACCTACCAGATGCCTGGAAGATTCTGCTAGGCGCTACAGGTACAGGAGCTCTTTTAATGCTCACAACAACTCAGCCAGATGTTATTCCAATCTTACAGTTGAAATAAATTTAGGCTCAAACATTTAGACCTCCAGTTGAACACTAGAGGACAGAGAAAAACAGAAAGCTCTTTTATCTGAACCACATGGAGGAGTGGGGTCCCTGACCACTGTCCCTTCCAGGGAATCTTAAAGAACCCAGGAAATCCTCTCGCATACTCCGCAGAAGTCAGTCACCAGTTAGAAAGCACATCGCAGCCATGCGAACCCTTTTCTGCCGGATCTCGAGAAGAGAAATCAGGCAGGCCCCCAGTCGAAATACTAAAACATACAGCTTGGGCTTCCAACTCCCTCCCTCGATCCCCAATTCTCAGGGGAACTCCCCTGTGAGACAGTCACAGTAGGCCACCGCGGAGACTTCAGCTTGCAGAGAACGCACGGAACCAGGAAGAGGAATCTCCTGCCCACCTGGGCGTCTCTGATTGGCCGCCGGCTGAGCGTGGAACGCTGGGGCGTGTGGCGTCACATCCGCCGGCCAGCCATCTTGTTCCCAGGGGCAGTTGGCGGAAGAGATCGCGCTCCCTGGCCGCCGGCTCGCCTTCTGCCTGGAGTTCTCGCGGCTCGCTTCTCGCCGTCTGCTTTCGACCCGGGGTTCATTTGTCGGCATCCCCGTTGCTCTCCCTCAGCTGGCTGGGGCACAGCGAGGCGGCCCCCTCTCCCAACGGCGTTCCATGGAGTAGGGTCCCGGACCGTTGTCCCGAAGAGCGAGATCGAGCTGGGCCCCCTCCCTCCTCCCTTCTCCCTCCCTCCTTCCTTCCGCCGCAACATGGCTAACAACAGCCCCGCGCTGACAGGCAACTCGCAGCCGCAACACCAGGCAGCCGCTGCCGCAGCTCAGCAGCAACAGCAGTGCGGCGGCGGCGGCGCCACCAAGCCGGCGGTCTCGGGCAAGCAGGGCAATGTCCTGCCGCTGTGGGGCAACGAGAAGACCATGAACCTCAACCCCATGATCCTGACCAACATCCTGTCGTCGCCTTACTTCAAAGTGCAGCTCTACGAGCTCAAGACCTACCACGAGGTAGTGGACGAGATATACTTTAAGGTACGAAGCACCTAGGCCTTGGGCTTGTGGGTAAGTTCGGAAGACAGGGTATGGAGGAAACGGGCGGAGGCGGCCCCCGAGATCTGAGGATTTGTGGGTGGGGGAAGGTGGGACAGATGGGGAGCTGCGGCCTATAGTGTGTCCGGGAGGGGTCGGACTGGGGCCGCCCTCTCGTTTCCTTTTCAGATTTTTAGGGCCTAGAGAGCCCGCCACTGTTGATCTCTCTCCTCCCTCAACCTCCTGCCCACCCCTGGGAGAAGTTGGGCAAGAGGGTTTGGGGAGAGGAGAAAAGAGTAATTAGAAGCCTCTCCAGTTCACAGTTTTGAAATTATTCCTTTTGACGTGGATCTACTCAGCGCCAACTTGTTGGTGCTTCTTCCGCCCACCCCGGGCCAGGGCGTGTAATGACTTCAGTGTTGGCCTCGTGTTGTTGGTACTATCCGATCCAGACAGGGGAAATGGTCCGTGAGCGTGTGTCGGGTGGGGTGGGAGGGTTGAGGGTGGAGAGGTGCCAGTTCAAGAGGTGTACAGAAGGCCTGGAAATTTTCCCAGAAGGAAGTCAGGAATGAAAGGTCTCAGCCACCTGTGCATTGGGCTTATTTAGAATTATCTGGGCCCTGGGCTTCTGCGGCAGGGTCGGTGCTGGCTTGGCTGTGCTGGGGAGCTCACCTGGCGCCTCCTCACTGCACTCTTGTCTCAGTTCTTGTTTCGTTAGCAGGATTGACTCAGTCTTGCAGCGAGGCTCGGAGCAGCCCAGGGTCGCAGGTAGAGGTATGCACTATTAATCATGCTCAATCGCCGTAAATGCATTTCCCTGGTTAAGTGAACGGCTAGTTAGATTTTTTTTTTTTTTGGCCAATGGTTTTGGTCTTTTCTTCACCAAATAGATAGGCTTTTTCCACTTCTCTGCAAATTATGTAGTTTTAAAAATATCTTCCAGGCCTCCGAAGGTTACTTTATATGTTAAAGAATGTTAATAATATCGTTAGTGGTCTTTAAATATTTTTGCTAGAGCATCTAATATGCAATCTGTTTTGTCTGTATTGATTCTTAGAAACTTGACAGACCACATAAAGTATTTTCTGTCATCTGAACATATGTGTAGAGAGATGTTACCAAAAGGACATTTCTCTTTTGTCCACCTTTTCCCCAAGTTAAGTGATTAGATTATTGAAGGATTATTTTTTTTAATATATATTTTTTTAGGATGCTAGTTGCTTTTTATAGAAAATAGATCTTGAGTAATACAGTTTAACTTTGGGTATGTAAAGTACACAGATAAGTTTGCTATCCCCTTCAAAGAGTCTATAGTAGGTCTAAGTATAATTCTTTGAACTAGATTTTTTTAGCTTTTAAAAGGTAAGACCTTTTCAGCATGGATACAGTATGGCGAATAGTTAACCATTAGCTTTATTTATGCAGTAAACTTTAAACAGTTGAAAGTTGGGTGCCTGCTCTTTTTGTGGCAGGTTCTGCTTTATAACATAGGCAAAATTTTATTGGAAGAAAAACTCGTTTTCAAATTTCAGATGTTGTGTTTTGAGACAACTTAAGACTCTACCAGGAATTATTTTTAAATTCAATTACAAAACTAAAGACTCAAGTATTATTATTAAGATGTTTGGATCAATATGTAGGCTTCCAACTTTGTAATTTGATTTTGTATTGCATCCACCCCTTACTTTGGCTAGCCTTTAAGGAATTGAAACTCATTTACACAGCAAGCTGGGGGGTGGGGAAGAAAGGAAACAGTAAAGCACTGCAGGAGTTGATGAGCAAAATAGTATAGTGCTTAAATTTAAATGCATGCTTTTCTGTCTGAAGCCATTTTTCAAGAATATACAACGTTACCATGTGTGGGTGGAAATAGTTTTAGAAATACATAGAATGAAAGAACAGGATTTTTTTGTCTTTAACAAAGATGGGTCTGATCTTTCCAAAAGACCTTTTGGGTTCTATCTATTTTAGAGCAGATATTCTTCTTATTTTTTGGCTATTTTTGGGCAAAGAATGGTTTTTGCGGGATACTCCCCTTAACAAAGATGATACTCTATCATCTTTGTTTTTTTTTTTTTTTTTTTTTTTTGAGACAGGGTCTCACTGTGTCTCCTGGGCTAGAGTGCTGTGGTGTCAGCCTAGTTCACAGCAACCTCAAACTCCTGGGCTCAAGCGATCCTCCTGCCTCAGCCTCCTGAGTAGCTGGGACTACAGACATGCGCCACCATGCCCGGCTAATTTTTTCTATATATTTTTAATTGTCCAATTAATTTCTTTCTAATTTTAGTAGAGACGGGGTCTCGCTTTTGCTCAGGCTGGTTTCGAACTCCTGAGCTCAAACAATCTGCCCGCCTCGGCCTCCCAGAGAGCTAGGATTACAGGCGTGAGCCACCGCGCCCGGCCTCATCTTTGATTATACTTAGTATATACTAATGACTATTCACACTCTGTTTTTGACATAGTTTATAGTCTGGGAAAAAACAGGTTCGCATAATTAGGCATAAGATAAATTACAAGAATGATCTCTGTGTAAGTGTGGCTTTTGTAATTTATCTTTAATCAAGAATGAACCTGATCTTGGTGAAAAGATATACAAATAAATTCTGGCATTTTGCACCAGAAGTAACTTGTTACTGTTTTAGCAGATTTTCTTCAAGTTATTTTATTTTATAATGTAGATTTAAAAATTATCATTAAATTGGACTATTGAAGGTATTTTAAAGATTTTTTCAAAAACTTGAACTTCATTTCATTAATATTTTTTACTTCAGAGACTTAAATCCTTTTTTAAATGAAAATTTTTATTTTTCAAGCAACTCATAATAAGATACAAAGTTGAAATATTTCCCACACATAGATATCAGCTCTCTATACAGCTAGTTAAATGGGATTTCATCTCTATAAAGCTGTTACAGTTTTGTTAAACCCTAGTAGCTTTATTGGTGTTCTTTAAATGTCTGGGCAGTTTTTCCCAACATGATTTACATACTTAATGTCAGTAAACATAATATATACTTAATGCCAAAATAATTTTGGAAGAGCTACTGTATTATGGACTTGGGCTTTAATCAGACTTTTAAACAAATTCAAAGTATGAATGTTTGTTGTGTTCCTCTTTTCTATTTTCAGGTCACACATGTTGAACCATGGGAGAAAGGAAGCAGGAAAACAGCGGGCCAGACAGGGATGTGCGGAGGGGTAAGTAGAAGTACGTGCATTTTTTGGTTTTTCTGTGTCTGATAACTAAGTTTATATTTAGAAAACTAAAGCTCTGCCTGTCAGCTACACACTTAAATGACAATTTGTAGGCAGCTCTTAAGAATTTATTTTTAATCTAAATTCAAATATCCAGTGAATAGAGTTACAAAACGTGGTTTTTTGATACTCTATTTTTAGGTCTGGATTATGGCTTGTTATTAATACCTAATAGGATTAATCAATTGGTGTTAAGTATCTGTTACCTATTTTACTACTTTTTCATAACTGTCCTTTGCCCTAAAGGTTCGAGGTGTTGGAACAGGAGGAATTGTTTCTACTGCTTTTTGCCTGTTATACAAGTTATTTACTCTGAAGTTAACTCGAAAGCAAGTGATGGGTCTTATAACACACACGGACTCTCCATATATTCGAGCACTTGGATTTATGTATATAAGGTGAGCATGCGTTTATCTACGTTTCCAGTAAATATCTCATTTTTAACTCACATGAGTTTAATAAGTCTTTTGTAATTCTAGATATACACAGCCCCCTACAGATCTATGGGACTGGTTTGAATCCTTCCTTGATGATGAAGAGGTATGTCAACAAGGGTAATAATTAGTTTCTTTCTGATTACTCTCGTTTTTTAAAATATCTTTTGTTTACTGGAGGTGCAATGTCTTCCACAGTTTTCTGTAGTTAAATTTATTTTAGTCAAATACTTTTAGAATTAATATCCTTTTATTAAGACTTGGTACCTTTTATATATCTTAGGTTAAATTTCTGAGTTTTATTTTCTTACTTTTATATTGTTTTAAATGTGCTTTGGTAACTATTAAAATTTTCTCTTCCTAATTGTGTGTATTGTATTCATCCTGAATTGTACAATTGGTAGTTATTTTTTAAGATGGGCCATGCTCAGGATTAATGATGAAAGACATGCACATAGAATACTAATTGTAGCTTTTTTTTTTCCTTCTGGAACATTTCAGTTCTTCACCCTTTAACTTCTTCCAAATATCAATATTCCCACTTGCATAGAATGCAGAATTGAAGAGCTGGGTGTGACTTAAATAGGCTGAGAGTTTGGATGACTTGTTCAAGGTGACAAAAGAAATACATTTTAATTCTAATTTTCTGACTCTTAGTCCACTATATATATATTTTTAAAATCTTTTTCTTAAATTACAGATTACATATTTCTAATCTGAAAATTTGAAATGCTCCAAAATCCAAAACCCAAAATGCTCCAAAATCTAAAACTTGAGTTACTTTGGGAAATTTACTGAGTCAGATTTAAATCACGTATGTATTAATTTGCTTACATAGAGAAGTCCATGATCTCAGAATGTACTCATCAGTGAGCTATGTTGTTTGTATATCTATCCCCACCACTGCTGTGTATTTTAAGGTACATAAAGCAATCAATGAGTGCTGTGTTTCAGTAGTCTGTTTTAAAAGTTCACCCAAAGAATTTGTTGAATTAAAGGATGGTTCTAATGGAAATCTATTGTGTTTTTGTTATTTATGTGCACACCTAAAAAAAATCTCACACATTTAGACATGGAGAATTTTAATTTTTCTCAACTCTTTTTCTTTTTTCTTCTTTTTTTTCTTTTTTCTTTTCTTTTTTTTCTTTTTTCTTTTTTTTTGCCTGTTAACTGAGCTATTTAACAACCCAGAAAAAGCAAAAAGTGTTTTAAATCACAATCTTTAAAGATTTTTTTCTCTTTAGATGAAAGTTTTTCAGACTGAATCACCTGTCTTTAAAAAAGCATGTCCCTCTTCATAATTGGTGTTGTGTATTAGGTTTGTTTCTGAATGCCTCTGTTTAATCTGTTTTTTATTATGTTTACAAACCTGAGGTCCTCTATTTAAGCTAACTTATTGTTTTCTTCCTTAGATATCTGCAGCGATTATATTTGGAAATACTGTATATCTGAACACTTAAATGTGTGTGAGTGCAAGCAGTTTTACCTTTAGCTCTTGTTTTCCTGTTTAGATAACAAATCTCACTTTCCTTGTGTGCTTGCACTATAGGTTTGGGACTGACAATAGCTGACTAACATGTCCTGAGCTGTGAGAGGGCATAGCAAGAAGGCCTTCATGCGGTAATGACCCTTTTCAGAGACAATGGTCATCATGGATTATGCGTTTCCAATTATTTGTTCATTTATTTATTTTCTACATAACTCTAAATTAGAAAACCTCACTGCTTCATGGCAGTTGGTTTGCTATTGCTTCCAGTTTTATTAGGGCTTCATTTTATTAGAGCTGTTAAAAGATAACCTTTAGACAGGAATTGTCTAAAGTAGTTCATATGTAGCTAGGTTATGTTGCTAGGTATGATGTGTGCAAATATGTCCACAGAAATAAATACATACTTAGTAGGTATGTGGAATGTAAATTTAAATCAGTTGTTCCACTTAGTTTAGAATTGTAAGGGGCTTTTTCATATTGTTAACTGAGTGAGATCAGTTCCCTTTATGCCCATGAGGCTGCAGGGTTTGTTCTCACCTGCATGCACACGCTAAGCCCAAATGTTTCTCTGTATCATTCATTACCAGATTAGGATACAAAAATTAAAAATTTTGTTAGCATTTTTTTTGTACTTGAGATTCCAAAGATGGTAATATTTTATAGTATTCATAGATATATTGAAATACATTTTTTGACGGCTAGGGCATCTTTTGTGTTTCTGTAGGACCTAGATGTGAAGGCTGGTGGAGGCTGTGTAATGACCATTGGAGAAATGCTACGGTCTTTTCTCACAAAACTGGAGTGGTTTTCTACCTTGTTTCCAAGAATTCCAGTTCCAGTTCAGAAAAATATCGATCAACAGATTAAAACCCGACCTAGGAAAATCAAGAAAGACGGGAAAGAAGGTGCTGAGGAAATAGACAGACATGTAGAACGCAGACGTTCAAGGTAGTGTGACTCTTGAATTATGGTTATTTTTAAAATATGCTTTATACAAACTTAATGGTTCCCAGAAATCAGTGGCAAATTCTTAGGAAATTCTGTGTATACTGTTCATTTTATTAGTTTGTCACTTCTACCCCTCAAAAGGTGGTTTTCTTTCAGAACATTTTCAACAAAATTTGCATCTGGAAATGAGAACAACCAAACTTTTTGCTTTGGTTATTCTTGATGTTTATGTCAGCTGGAGACCTAAATAATAATAATGATAAAGTTTTACTATGGGCTGTGCACAGTGGCTCGCTCCTATAATCCTAACTCTTTGGGAGACCAAGGCAGGAGGATCGCTTGAGTCCAGGAGTTGAGGTAGCAATGAGCTATGATGACACCACTGCACTCTAGCCCAGGCAACAAAACGAGACTTGGTCTCAAACAATTAAAAAAAATTTTTTTTAAATATAAGACAAATTTTAAAAGGTTTACTGTGAAAAAAGGTAAAATTTTTTATGAAGTGTTTTATTCGTTGACATTTTCTTCTTCTCTCCTCTTTCTTAGGTCTCCAAGGAGATCACTGAGTCCACGGAGGTCGCCAAGAAGATCAAGAAGTAGAAGTCATCATCGGGAGGGCCATGGGTCTTCTAGCTTTGACAGAGAATTAGAAAGAGAGAAAGAACGCCAACGACTAGAGCGTGAAGCCAAAGAAAGGGAGAAAGAAAGACGAAGATCCCGGAGTATTGATCGAGGGTTAGAACGCAGGCGTAGCAGAAGTAGGGAAAGGCATAGGAGTCGCAGTCGAAGTCGTGATAGGAAAGGGGATAGAAGAGACAGGGATCGGGAAAGAGAAAAGGAAAATGAGAGAGGTAGAAGAAGAGATCGTGACTATGATAAGGAAAGAGGTAATGACAGAGAAAAGGAGAGGGAACGGTCAAGAGAAAGATCCAAGGAACAGAGAAATAGGGGAGAGGTAGAAGAGAAGAAACATAAAGAAGACAAAGATGATAGACGGCATAGAGATGACAAAAAAGATTCCAAAAAAGAGAAAAAACACAGTAGAAGTAGAAGCAGAGAAAGGAAACACAGAAGTAGGAGTAGAAGTAGAAATGCAGGGAAACGAAGTAGAAGCAGGAGTAAAGAGAAGTCAAGTAAACATAGAAATGAAAGTAAAGAAAAATCAAATAAACGAAGTAGAAGTGGCAGTCAAGGAAGAACTGACAGTGTTGAAAAATCCAAAAAACGGGAACATAGCCCCAGCAAAGAAAAATCTAGGAAGCGTAGTGGAAGCAAAGAACGTTCCCATAAACGAGATCATGGTGATAGCAAGGACCAGTCAGACAGACATCGAAGGAGCCAAAGTATAGAACGAGAGAGCCAAGAAAAACAACATAAAAACAAAGATGAGACTGTGTGAAAATTTTTTGTAAAAGTGGATCACATTGAATCCTATAAATGTTTGATTTAATCTGCTTCCCCCCCAGTTGATTGTGCAGTAGTTATGCACTCTTCAAGCTCCCTGTAGGCCGAATTTTCATTTCCTCTTTTGTGTAGGGAAGTGCCTTTGTAATCCCATTTATTGCATTGATGTTTTCACCCAGTTGTTGAGTTTGATACATGATGCACAGATTGTTCTTGCATTTTTATTGTTTAATTGTTTTTGAAATGTACAGTCTGTACATATGTCCTGAAAATGTTTTAATTCCTTTGGCATGATTGCCATGTTGGTTGAATTTGTATGAGGCAATAAACTGCCACTAATTCTATTTTTGTTTTGTAGGTGTGGGATTATGGTTTGTGTACTGAAGTTAGCATGACTGTGCTTTTCATAATAGAATGCTAAAGACTTTGAGAATGGATCTTGAATGTCTACTTTAGGAGAATTATGTGCTGTCAATGTACATGAAGGCAGCAGTTGTAGGATTAACATTCTTGTCCACTGTTTATTATCTTGGAAGGCTCTTGTTAGTATGTTATACTTAATATTCTCCACAGTTAACCGTTAGAGAGAATTTATGAGAAGTTAGTTTCTGATGCAGAAGTTTAAATTAGGCTGTGATTTGATCAAAAGTCCTTTTAGCATTCTACCTCAAAGGGACACTGTTAGTATGCCTAAAATTTATTCGCTTAGTTTTCCTTTTTTATTTGAAAAAATACATGACATGTAATCTTTTTTCCTTGAATTCTTTCTCAGATTTTAAAGTACTATATTAAAGAAAAAAATAATGTCTAAAGTCTAGCATTCTTGCAGAAATCTATACTAACATGTAATTGGGAGAGGGTGGGGCAGATGAGTAGGAAAACAGATTCAAGCCTCAAGCTTCCAAAGCATTTTTATAAACGGAAAATACTTAAATTATGAAACAGCTTGATATAGTGTCCTTTTTTTAAACTCCAAAACTTTTTTTATTGATAACGACGATCACTGTTTGAGTTTTTAAACTTAATCTAGAACAGAGAAGTATTAAAGTAATGCTATGCTGCATTATTTAAGACTATCAGCAAATGATTTGATAGATTGTTCTTATGACTTGTATTCTGATTACAGAGAACCATGAGTGTGGAATAAATATTGGATTAAATCCTTTATCCTGGGTGTTGGCTTTCTCCCCATTTGTTAACATTTTTTAAAAGTACTTTTATTGTGGAAATTGATAAAATGTCAATAGAGTCATTTTCCATAGAGGGATATCTTAGCACCCAGATGACAAATGAATATTAAAGAATCTTGTCAGTGACATGTCACTAGAGTGCTCTTTTGATTGGGTGATTGTTTCACATCAAAAGTGCTTATTTAGGTACTTTTCACTTGGACCATATGTTAGCATCTTTTTTTTTTTTTTTTTTTTGCCCAGGCTAGAGTGCCGTGGCATTAGCCTAGCTCACAGCAACCTCAAACTCCTGGGCTCAAGCGAGCCTCCTGCCTCAGCCTCCCGAGTAGCTGGGACTACAGGCATGCGCCACCATGCCTGGCTAATTTTTTTTTTTCTATATATTTTTAGCTGTCCAATTAATTTCTTTCTATTTTTGGTAGAGACAGGGTCTCGCTCTTGCTCAGGCTGGTCTCGAACTCCTGAGCTCAAACAATCCGCCCGCCTCGGCTTCCCAGAGAGCTAGGATTACAGGCGTGAGCCACCGCGCCCGGCTCTTTGCCTCTTTTTTAGTGTTCAATTTGTAATTCTTTTTTTTTTAATTCTACAAATGTTAAGCCAGTATGTGTCAAGGGCAAACACTGAGGATACAGAGGTGAACAAAACAGACAAAATCCCTGCTCCTAGGAGCTTACATTGCAATGGAAGGAATCAGGAAATAAACAATATAAATAACAATAGGTAAGTTGGCCGGGCACCGTGGCTCATGCCTGTAATCCTAGCACTCTGGGAGGCCGAGGCGGGTGGATCGCTCAAGGTCAGGAGTTCGAGACCAGCCTGAGCAAGAGGAGACCCCCGTCTCTACTAAAAATAGAAAGAAATTGTCTGGACAACTAAAAATATATATATAAAAAATTAGCCAGGCATGGTGGCACGTCCCTGTAGTCCCAACAACTCGGGAGGCTGAGGCAGGAGGATCTCTTGAGCCCCGGAGTTTGAGGTTGCTGTGAGCTAGGCTGAAGCCACAGCACTCTAGCCCGGGCAACAGAGTGAGACTATGTCTCAAAAATAAGAAAAGGTATATTAGATAGTGATGAGTGCAAGTGAGACAAAAATGCCAGAAGATAAGAAAGCTCTTTAATCCCCAAGGGACTTATCTCCTTGCAAACAAATGCTATACAGGGGACAGTATATATTATTAACCTTGAAATTTTAACACAAAATGTCCGTTTTAATGCTATTCAACTTACAGTCTTTTACTCTGTGGCTTCGTTCCTCAGTTTCTCCAAGGTTGTGGTTCCCTACCCTCACCCCAGTCCTTGGTGTGTTAGGGACAGGGCTGCAGACCTCTGCTCACCTCCCCCGCCCCCACCTTTCTTAACCTTTGAGTTCTGAGCCCCCTTTTAGGAATCTGATGAAAGCTCGATCCTGTCTAGAAAAATAAAAGGTATCCTGAAATTTGTGTGCAATTTCAAAGGCACTCCTAAACTGCTCTAGAACTTCTGTTTGCTTACTAGTTTTTTTTTATTTTGTTTGATTATATATTGCAAAGTTAATAGCAAATTCTAGCATAAAAACTTCAAAGAATGTTAGGGCTTTTAAATTTTTCCTTCTTCTTTCTACCATCCAACCAGTGTTTTTTTTGTTTGTTTGTTTGTTTTTTTATTTCAGGGTATTATGAGGATACAAACATTATGGTTACATTTTATATCTTTGCCTTACACAAGCGAGGGTTAAAGGCATGCCCTTCCCCACTACAATGCTCCCCGTGTCCTTTAGTTGCGGTTTTACTGCCCCGCCCCATGCTTACTGATTTTTCAAAGCTATGATTAGGTGTACAGTTTTTGAGGATGAGTAACACAGTAAACCAGAAATTAAATTCCTGGGAATGTCCCAAAGGCAGCAATTGTTTTTGTTTTTAACTTAAAAGATGAAATGGGACAAAAAATGTTAATGATACATAATTCTCTTCCCTAAGAGTAGTCCTTTATGAATAATATAAGTAGTTTTTGGTTTGTAGAGTTGAGGCCCAACACTGGCAGCTTATAAATTTTCAACTGATAGCAGTGTGCAACCTCGAAACACTGACTACTTGACAATTTCTCACTGGTGATATGGACCAACCGATGGGCGTCAAGTGGATTCTGGTCCTAATTTGATTCTAGCATCTTGCAAATGCAGAATTCAGCTATGAATGACTAACTCAATTACAGGACAGACCTCTTAAGTGGAGCTAATTTTATGGGGAAAGTAACTCTTCTTCCTGATAGTATCAATCTGTTTCCTAAATTCCTCTATCGTGTCATCCTATAAAAGTCTATAGTGCTTTGCAAATACCTCTAAAATGACATTTTTAGTTTTAGGATTATTGTTTGCCAACGTTTATTGTAGGAAATATGACAGTGTGAGTACAATCAACTGAACAATGTGAGCATCACAGCTGACTTAAAATCCATATTCCATTTCTCAGAGCATTGATAGTCAAAGAATTTCTACTATTATGTAATCATGATTCATAATGTATTGCACAGGTATGTATTTGGGTGCGTGTGGGGGGGTGCTTTTCAGTCCATTGCAAAAAGTTACACTTGCTAAACGGCTGACCTGAAAGCATTTCCTATAGCATACAAACTATGAGGTTTTGTCACAAGGACTGGAAAAAGAAAATGATTTATTGAAAGCATAAATTTGCCTGATCTGCAAGTACCTGAAGTCCACCGATGTTCAGTTGATTTTCTTTGCTCAGCTCTTGTTCAGGCCATTCTGAAGCCGAATTATTTCTCTATTTCTTGGGTCAGTGGAATCAGTCACACACACACACACCCCTGGCAAATTCCATCAGCACCGACCCCCAACATCCCAAATAAACATACAATCCAAGTGAAACAAAAAACTGTGCTGAGCGAATGGAAGAGAAATCCTCTTGTCCTCTCCTTCCCTTTTATTTAGAAATTTTGAAGTCAACAGTGTTCTGGATTCTTTTTAAGTCCCAGGCTCTCATCCAGCCAGTCCAGGTACTGGTTCAGGGAACATTTCTTTCTGAATGGAATGTTCCATGTCTGACCCCTGCTCTGGGAAATGAGTTATGCTGAGCCTTGTGCAGGGACAGCCACTGATTTGTGGATACGCCAGTTACCAATTCATTTCTTAGCTCCAAATCCTCTCTCTATTGCCCTGCTTCGTGACTGTGGAGCTGAACCTTTTAAACATTTCTCCTTTGCCAGTGGGCACGCTGCTCAGCTTGTCAGGATGAGGGAGGGAGCTGCAGGAGAAAGGAGTTTCTCTGCTTCGTTCTGTCGTGTTCTTTTTTCTTCTTGCTTCTGCATTGTGTAGGGGCCAGTGGCGTGGAGACACCCAGTCGCATTCATCCCCCAGCAGATTTCAGTGGCATCGCATTGAGGGAGGCGGAGGGAACTCCCAGCAAGTCCACTGGTCTCCTGCCAGCTTCCCAGCAAGTCTCGCTAGCCACTTTCAGCAACACCCCGCGGATTTCCCAGGAAGCCTCAGTAGCATCCCGGTGGAAGGTGTTCTGGTCGGTCTTGCTGACACCTGCTCGCCAGCCTTCAGCATCTCAGCAACCAGAGGGTCACAGCTGCGTCCTCTCCAACAAATTTGTTCTTTCCTTGGGTCCTCTGCCTCAGCCCTAGAAGTAGTGGCTGTTCCCTGTATCCACTATTTCTATGATTTTAGAGTCCTCTTTACCCTTGATAATTAATCCCTTGTTACTGGTTAATAATTCTTTTTTTTTTTTTTTAATAGACGGGGACTCACTGACACCCAGGCTGGAGTGCAGTGGCCCCATCATAGCTCACTGCAGCCTCAAACTCCTGGGCTTAAGTGATCCTCTCGCCTCTGCCTCTGGGGTAGTTAGTTGGGACTACAGGTGCACATCACCACACTCAGTTATTTTTGTTGTTGTTGTTTTTTTGTGGAGATGCGGGTCTTGTTATGTTACCCAAGCTGGTCTCAAACTCCTAGGCCCAAGCAATTCTCCTGCCTTGGTCCCCCAAAGCACCAAAATTATAGGCGTGAGCCACCACGCCTGGTCTAATAATTCTTTATATCAAACTTTCCCTGTTGAAATTAACTGGACGCTGGGTGATACAGGGTACTAAGAAGATACCAATTATATTGGTGCTACTGTGGTAGGCTGGCTGATGACCCCTAAAGTAGCCTAGTGTGAAGAGGGCTCAGCCCAATAAGTTTGTTGAGAGTTACATAAGTGAATCAGATTGGCTCCTTCCGGAATTTCGACTGAGAACTAAGTAAGTCCAGTCCTGAGAAGAATATATAAGACTTGGATAGGGTGGCCACATGAAAGAGATACCATGATAAATAAGCCACTGTCCCCTGAAGCTGCCTTGTCTCCTGCTGGCTTTCTAGTTTTTTCCCAGTCTGGTCAGTGGATATCCTTGCAATTTCTCTGTTTTCCTTAAGATGTCCTGAGTTTCTCTTCTGTGGAACCCAGGAGCCTAAGTCTGGTTTCTTTTATTGCAATCGTAAGAAACCCATGGTCCGTGAGGGTCTTCCTGACATTTCCCTGACGTTGTATTTGTCTGTCTATCCTCAGCACCAGTAAAAAAGTGTTATCTACTTGATTTGACTTAGCAAAGAAGTCAAAAAATGTTTTATATGATTCTTTT